TGTATGTGATCTAAAGCTCTGATTCTAGATCTAGTAGAGTGCTGTATGAATGTGATCTAAAGCTCTGATTCTAGATCTAGTAGAGTGCTGTATGAATGAGTAAATGAGGCACAGATTGTGTTGTAAAGAGTTTTGAGTATCTTGAGTTGATAGAAAGGAGCTATATAAGAGCAGTCCATTTATCATCTCCCCATGATGGACTTGAATTGTTGAATATAATTAGACGTCTAGCACTGCGTCAAGAAAAACATCACCTGCCACCTTTCAACCCAAAACTTTAGACATACTATGTGTTGGGACTAACTCAGCTACTACCACATCAGATTTTGGCTCAATGTCCGTCAAACTGACTAATTTATTCAATGATATATTTGAGGGTGACAAAATGTCTGAGAAATGGAGAAGAATTGTGCTGGTGTCCATTTTTAAGAACAAGGGTGATGAATTAAGTTGATGAGCCACACGATGAAGATCTGGGAGAGAGTTGTGGAAGCAAGACTTAGACGAGAGGTGATTATCTGTGAGCAGCAATATGGGTTCATGCCAAGAAAGAGCACCACAGATGCCATCTTTGCTTTGAGGATGCTGATGGAGAAGTACAGAGAGGGTCAGAAAGAACTCCATTGTGTCTTTGTGGATTTAGAAAAAGCATATGACAGAGTGCTGAGGGAGGAGTAGCGGTGTTGTATTTGGAAATCTGGAGTGGCAGAGAAGTATGTTAGACTGGTACAGGACATGTATAAGGACAGCAGGACAGTGGTGAGATGTGCTGTAGGAGTGACAGATAGCTTCAAGGTGGAGGTGGGAGTGCATCAAGGATCTGCTCTGAGCCCCTTCTTTTTTGCTCTGGTGATGGACCAACTAACAGGTGAGTTCAGGCAGGAATCCCTGTGGACTATGATGTTTGCAGATGACAGTGTGATCTGTGGTGAGAACAAGGAACAGGTGGACAAGAACTTGGAGAGGTGGAGGTATGCACTTGAAAGAGGAGGAATGAAAGTCAGTTGTAGTAAGACAAGTACATGTGTGTGAATGAGAGAGAGGAGGTGGAACAGTGAGGCTACAAGGATCAGAGGTCACAAAGGTGCAGGACTTCAAGGACTTGTGGTCCACTGTCCAGGAAAATGGGGAATGTGGTAAAGAAGTGAAAAAAAGGGTCCAGGCAGGATGGAGTGGATGGAGAAAAGTTTCAGAAGTGATTTGTGACAAAAAGGTCAAAGGAAATGTTTACAAGACAGTGGTGAGACCAGCTGTGTTGTATGGTCTGGGGACAGAGACATAGACAAAAAGACAGGAGACAGAACTGGAAGTGGCAGAAATGAAGATGTTGAGGTTCTCTTTAAGAGAGACAAGGATGGATAAGATTAGGAATGAGATTATCAGAGGTACAGCACAGGTTGAACACCTGGGAGATAAAGTTAGAGACCAGACTGAGATGGTTAGGACATGTCCAGATGAGGGACAGTGGTTTGGACATGTCCAGAAGAGGGACAGTTGTTTGGACATGTCCAGAGGAGGGACAGTGGTTTGGACATTTACAGAAGAGGGACAGTGGTTTGGACATGTCCAGAGGAGGGACAGTG